CTGTGAAAACCATTAAAGGTTTGTTTGATGTTATTGATGATCCACCCATAAGGTATGGATTCATTGTCATTTGTAATGATTCTGCTGCATTTGGCATTTGAGAAAAATTTGAAAGTTGGTTTCTTGTTATTTCATGTTGTTGGAGATAATATGGGAGTGGTATTTCATTTTGCATTTGTGATGCTTGATACGAGTGTGCAGTCATTGGATTTTGTTGTTGAATTGGTTGAAAAGATTGTGTATTAATTAGATTTTGTTGTTGAATTGGTTGTTGATGTTGTGCATCTATTGGTTGTGGAGAAAAATTTCTATGATTTGTACGTGTTCTCTGTATTCCTTGTCTACGATATTCTTGAGTATTTGGTGCAAATATATCTGGTTGTAAGAAATCATCATCTGAGGATAAATAATCCATTTGATAAGATGTCTGTTTTTTATTTCTATTTTGTTGAAAAAATGGGTAATTTTCACTGTGATCCTGTGGAGGATTTGTTTGGAAATTTATTGAATTAGGTTGGGTCATTGGGTTATCCCAATTTCGAGATCTTGTATATTGGTTAAAATTTCTTTGTGGTTGATTATATGTTTTTGATGGATGTGTATAATTATAATTATGGTCTGTAAAGTTGTTTCTAGTGAATGTTTTGCGTGTTTTTGATGGTATTGTCATGGGTCTGTATGTTTGGTAATCCATATGTGAATATTTAGGGGCAACCGAAGGTTTAACGGTTGATTGTAAGGTTACCTGTGTTTGTGAAGGATTTGTATTTCTTGGTGTTGTTAAATTTGGGCGTATTGGTGAAATACTTTGTTGTGTAGTTGTTGTGTGTACAATTTCTTCATTTATGAAGTGTGATGGTGTCTGGATATCTTGTTGAGTAAGATTCCTAGTTCCATTGAGGTTTTCATTGTGTATAACTGTAGAGTTTAAACTATTATTTTGTGTATCGGGCAAAAATGTATTATAGTTTAATGGTGTTGCATCAATGGTTAATGGTATTACTTTTACATAATCTCTTATGTAAGATATCGTACTTATTGCTTGACTTGAGATTGATTGTGGGAAGCTTATAAATGCGGGATGAGACCATTCGGGGTCCCAAACATAATCTGATTGTTCTGTGATAGCTGTATCATCGTTCGAGTTTTGGGGTCTAAAATTTTTTCTTGCTTGTGCAATTAAATCAATATTGTGTGTGAAATAATCTATTATAAACCATGCCAAAATTTTTTGTAGATCGTGTTTTGTATGTTGTGAAACGTCGTCTTTCGTGAAATTTTCTTTAATGATGTTTAAATAACTAGAGAGTAGTGTGATTTCATGTCGTACTCTTAAATGTTTAGATGTTTCTGTCGGTGAGACATTTGTTATAGGGATTTCGTTTTCTAATATCGAAATATAACTATATATTATTGCGAAAACTTCATTGGTGAATATGGAGTTTGCTCTTTGTGAGTTATGATATTGGATGCTTTTTATATATTCTGAAAAAACTTTTGAAAATTCTAAATCAAGATCGTCTGTTTGAATTGTATATTTTCTATTATTATGGTTTGGTGAGGTGAATTCTATGGAGTAGATTCCATACTGTTGTGTTATGTTGCATATATCTTTTAAGTAGTGGTCTATGATTTGTCTTTTGATTTTTACATCTGGGAACTCTGTTTTACATGGACTAATTCCGGGTTCAAATAGATTTACGAGTAAATTTTGACAAAATATGTGTTGTCCTCTATCAGTATCTGCGTCTACTATAAAAGGAAAGATTTCATCATCATCTGGACTTTCTTCACCTGGGGTGTGCGTTGAGCTCATTTTTTCGTTCGATGACTGTTAATATGTAATTATCAATGTGTCTAATTGGTTGATTCCAATTGTATAAATGTACTGGTTTGTGTTTATACTGCTTTTTTATTCTTCTTTTTCCTCTTTTTGATGAATTTGAAGTTGTTTCTGAGTCAGAGAAATATAATTGATCGTGAAGTGGGCAATTTTTATCTATTGATTCTTTTAGTTTGTAAAGTTCGTCTAAACTGTTGGTTTCTGATTCTGAAAATGCGTTTCGATTTTTTGAAAATCTTTTTCGTGTTATTTGTCTTTGTTTCGTTATTATTTTTCTTTTTAGTGTTTGTCGTTTTGTTCGAATGTATCCAACTGTTTGTGTATGAGGTGTGATTACAAGGTCGTATTTTTTGTTATCTATTTCACAATTGTGTAAAACGATTGTTTGTTTATTTCCTAGGTTTTTAAATGACATAAGGTTTAGAATGACGGATGCAAAAGGTTGTTAAATGGTTTCTATTTTCTTAAACTGTTAGTTCTTACGATTTTTTGGTTAGCTTAACCTGGGTCTGTTTGTTCAGGGTTGGAGAGAAAAGTATATCGATTCCGAAGAATGATTTTTTACTTTCTCGTGGCTAGTATAAGTTAAGGTGTTAACTTACTTAATCTTACTTAGGGGTAGTGATTGTGTTCAAGGGTTGGAGAATAGTAAATCGATCCACAAGGTTCAGGTATAATTAGAACGCGAGTAGTTCGTTAGATACTATTTTAAACTTACTAAGTCTAAGATTTATCCTGGGTCTGGTAAGAGGGGGGGTCAAGTGAAGGATGAATAACCGAAGTTCTTCACTGTTTATCCTAATTTGAATGATTAGTTTTGTTTAAAAATTTCTATTAGTCTTGGGTCTTTAGAAAGGGTTGGGTAGTGAATCGACGTTTGAGGTCGTTAGACACTAATTAAGTGGGTGGGGGAGAACAAAGTTGTTCTGTTTGATCCAAGGATAAGCCTTGATGATCAAATTTGAAATTTAATTAAGTAGAAAATGATTTAAGATCCAAGGATAAGCCTTGATGATCTGGTTTTAAAATTAAGTGAATTTAAGTTTTAATAAATTTTTAAATGTGTGTAAAGGAAAGATTTAGTGTTTTGATGATATTAGTGGGTTTATGATTGCTGTTATGTTTTAGATGATGGAGCTGGAACAACAGGATGATTTATGATTACTAACCATTTATTGTCATGCTACTAATTTTTATTTTTTATTTTTCAATAAATATTTTTCAAACATGTTTTGTATATTACTGCAGAGTTTTAGGGAAACGATCTTAGATCTTTTTATCAATCGTTATTGTATATTAATAATTTTGTTTAGCGCCTGAAATGATTTTGAAGATTAACTTCAAGGTTTTATGTTTGCAAATGAAAATCTAAATTCATTGCCAGTAGTATTCTAAATATAAAGGTTTGTTCTGGTTTTTGCCTAACTATCATATAGCTATATGGCAAATTTCTACTTTGTCGTATGTCGTCTCTGGTTCGAGGTCTTCTTCCAATTCCGGGTAGTTCTGTTATGGTTCGGAATATTGGCTCTGATCTATTGAGTCGTAGAGACATTTCGATTAAATTATTGTCGTATAACATTTTTTAAATGTTTTTGTCTAATTTCTAATCTATTTTGGTTAATTCTAAGCTATTAAGGTCTTGTTCGAGACTTATGGTCGCACCAGATGAGTTAGGTTCGAGTTGGTTAACTCATAGAGTAATTTCGGATAGGGTACACCGTCTGCTCGTCACGCTATCTTATTTTCGGCCGGATAGATTCGTGCAACTTCTTAGTCTAATACCGATCCTAATCTTACTCTTATACTATCTAGTCTCAGGTTGTTTAACTAGTCTCTGCTAGGCTCAATAGATCTAGGGTATACTGGTTTATTGCGGCTGCTGAAGTGCTCGGGAGAGTCCAACTAATTTCTAAGTTAAATTCAAATCTCTCTGGTGCTGAAATTACAAGTAACTTCAGCACTTACAAATAAGTGGGTTGTTAGTTAGATGGATCGTGATTGGTTAATATTAAATACTTTACATTGGTAAAACATTTAATTTATCCAATCATAAAATATAGTTTAGATCAGGTTCCACCACCCTCTTTACGAACCATTACAATGTTTTGCGAACCATAAAAAGCAAAACAAGCATTAGAACTTAAATTACTTCCAAAGTACGCAAAAACAGGTGACTTAACCGATGTAACTTAAGCCGAAACAAACTAGTCGAAAAAAAAAAGAAAATTAAATACATTGAAAGTCAGATTTGATAAAATTCCAAATTGCAGAAAAAATTTCAGTTATATTAAAACCCGTTTCAATCAAAATTAAAAAAAAAAACATTTTTTGAGAAGGAGTTCAATGGAAACCCGTACGGGATAACATAAATGCATTTGAAAAATAAAATGGAAATTGAGGCGACAGTAATCAAGATGAAAACAACTAATCCATAAAAAACTTTTTTTTTTCTATAAATTATTTGAAAAAAATAATTACTACCAAATAACGACTCGTTAGTTATAATTGAACTTTGAAGAAATTGAGCATGACAGCAAATGAAAATAAAAGCACGTATTTCTTAATTTCTAATACGATTTGTAAGAAAAGTTGTTTACAGGAAACAAAAGTGTAGTTCCCGATTACACGACACTTGATCTCGCAAATGTAAATACATGGGAATGCTTTAAATCAGAACTAATCAGAAGTTGTGAAACTCCCTGATAATTTTGATAGATGTCTATTTCTTGCTAAGAACTAAATTACGCCCTGCTAAATTACTACCCCCGTGATTTCAGTACTGTCCATCATGTACTGTACAGTTCAGTTTTAAAAGAATATTTGCATGAATCACCTTGTGATATGAAAAAGCATACTTTTTCACGAATTTCGTCTGTATTCACATTCATTAAACAACACGCGTTTTGTCAACGACTGTCGCAAACGACGAAAACACTATCAATGCTTATCAGTTTAATTTTCCTTTTCCTTTTCCTTTTCTTCTTCGTCTGTTCTTTATCTCTCCTTTATCTGTTTATTCAATCCTTTTGTTAGTCTACTTCATTAGTTGATTGATGAATACGACACACTTAACGAAAAGCGCTTTTATTTAGTTCTAAAATTCGGAGGAAACATTTAGTTGACATGGAAAACCTATTAGAATAAACGTGCTCACATCTGAAAAGGGCACTGTGTATTTCTCAGCTAGGTCATTGTGGATCTCCTGCAGCTTCTCTGAAACAACAAAGCGACCATCAAATCCAACATCAAACAGGCATAAAGGGTCATCTAAAAGTATTTAGGGAAGTTGAACTGGGGAAAGTTAAGCGGTCAAAAAGGTATTTATTATGTACGTGGCTCTTAAGGTGCCCAATCGGTCGAAAATCAGACCATTTGTCCTGTAGTTCATATCCGATTAATGACATGCGAGCAAAACGACATCTAGGACACCGGAAGCGATGGGTGAACAATACAAGATTCCACGTCAAAAAATAGATAGCAATTAGGCCTAAATGCAACTTCAGTTCAAATAAACTGCGCTCAACGGGAGAATCTTCACACTCCAGGGCAATTTCCAATCAATATGTGATCCTTTCATCACACAGACTAATGATCATAAAATGTGCTATAAAAAACATTGGATCGGGACGCACGAATATCTCATTAACGGATCAGGTGGCGCTTCAAACATTCTTGCCTTTGAGGTTGGGCCATAAAATCAATCAGGAACCTTGTCTTAATTTGAAAAAGTCTACTAGGACAATTAAAATTGGAAAAACTGGTCGCCAACAGTGATAGGGGAAATGAGCAAGCTAATGGATTCAGTTTCATTGATGTCATATTTTTCGATTTTCAGACTGAGCTCTTGAATAGCTCAAACGCTATGGCACTTGAGACAAGAAGCACAAACGTATTCACAAAAAACATGCGGATTTCTTTAAACCCCCCTTCGGGTTCCTAGTAACAAATATCCCCACTCTATAAAGAAATAAATCAGCGGTTAAGCATATGAGAATTTAATACCTAGTAACGAATCTCCTCTTTTTGCAAAAGGGAGGGATATAGTTAAAGAGATCCAAGAATGCCAGCCAAAAGATTGAATTTTGAAAGAACTTATCCAAAAATCAAAAACTGTAAACCTAAATTGAAGCACAATTCGATCAAGGGTATATTACAAATCAATAACAACAATTCAAAATAGAGACAAGACTGCTCGTATATCAGGGCAAAGCCCTGAATGTTCCGACTGCCCAGTAATCCATGACGAATAGTTTTTTGGTAAAAGAAAAATTGAAAAACTATGAATCTTGGACAACATCAAAGATCAAACGTGAAAGTTTGAATCGTAAAAAAAATAATAAGACCGATTAGCTAGCCTCAATTCAATTTGGAACGATTTCTTTAGGGGGATAATTCGCGACGCATTAGTCATTCGCTTACGCTTTCAAGATTATGGATTAAATCTTTAAAGCGCTCATAAAATAGTCCAGAGCATGCCCAAATTAGCCATTTTCAAACTTCCAAAATTTTGTAAAAAACGATGGGAGGGAAAATATCTATCTAAATTTGATTTCGAGGAGTTGATATCTTCAATGGGGCATAAAACTTTTTGTTAAAAACTATTATTTCGATCACCAAAAAATGACTGAATAAAAAAACCACACCGAGCATAAATATTCCGTTTTCTTCAAAAGTCCGAACAACAAACTGTTGTAACCACTCAACTATCTTAATCTATGCATAAATTTAGATTTAGTGAACAAAAAAAGTAACAAACAAAATCAAGTTTTTCCTTTGAAGGCATGAAACCTTTCGATCTCGCATATACAGGCACAATTTTTTGGTTTCCCTTTTTGCATGACTAAACTGAACCTGCAAAAAAATTAAATCTTATAGCAGCGGCAACCTTTCTTCAAATAAAGAAATTTGGAGTTTTCTAACAAAAAATCTTCTAACAAAAATCGTTTTCGAAGATAAAATGTAAAATCACATTGTATGTTTTGAAATATTGGCGAAATGATCAAAAAATTGAAACACAGATGCGAAGCGGTGCTTGGTATCACTTGCAATATAACGCAAAAATCGATGAATTGAAAAAAAATCAATTCCAGAAAAACAGTCGAAACACAACTACCAGCTTTAAATAAGCTTTTACAATTTACCGAGCGGCCACTAAGCCGACAATACATGGTATAAAATTTAACTTTTACACTGAACCCGAACTGAATTATTTTTCAAAACAATAGTCAATTTTTGACCCCCAAACAACACAAAATAAATTGACCCATTTCGGCCAAATCAAGCTTTTGAACGAACAAAAAAGAGAAAATATACAAAGTCATTAGTTTTTTTAAATTACAGTACTAAATCAACATCAACAAACTTTGTGTAATCAAAGATTTGAAAAAGCATAAGAGTATTGAATCATAAAACTAGCTAGAGGCACAGCGATGCACTACTTGCAAAGCATTACAAAAATAGAATTATAGCGACCTAACAGAAAAACTAGAAGAAAATCTTCAATCAAAACATTCTCAAGAAAAAGTGTCGAAAAAACTTGATTTACCAAACTTCTCCTGCGTTTGCCTCGAATGAAGTTAATTTCGAGAAAAAAACATGCCAAAAAAGATAATTATCAGCAATGAATTAGAATTGAGAATTATTAAATCGGTAACTAATCCGAAAAAATCTTTGCCAAAAATTGAGCTTAACAAATTTCCAAAACAAAAGTTTTCAAAAATCACATACCCTCAGCATATACACAATTGAAAATTTCTCATCAAAATTCAAACCACGCAATATGAGGCGACTAAGACGATACAAGATGAATTGAAACGTTCTGAGCCGAATGAAAAAACAAGGAAAACAAAAAGATTACAACCAACATGAACATTAACTTCGGATAAGACACTAGATTGAAACTCAGACAAGCTCAAACATCTGTTGAAAAAATATAGCTGTTGACGAATTGATTCGGTGATTTTATTAAGTTAGTCGATGATCTGAACAAAAACCTATGACCCCAATTTGATAGAGCTTGCAAATCGCAAGCGTAACTAAAATGTTATCAAGTTTTTAAAGACATTTGTACTTTTTGGAAGGCATAATTTACCTTCCCTTTGGCAACTTACCTTTTAAAAATTGAAAAAACTGAAACTTTAAAAGTTGAAAAAACTGAAACGTCCAACAGCAAAAAAAAACAAATATGAGCGTAAACAACAATCAAGAAATTATTCTGGAATGAAAAATGAACAAACACGCCACCTTAAGAAGTGTTTTCATTTCGTTCATTGACTTTTAATCATTATTGAGAATTAATGTGACGAGCAAATTATAGTGACAATTCAACTTTATTTCGTACCAAAAAAAGAAAATGTGTTGGTTCAATTAAATTACAAAAAATACAAGAAAAGTTCAAAATTTCTTTGTCAAATAGACAGCTGGAAAAGCTAGAATCAACTCACGGAAGTAAAAAAAAAAACGTCCGATTTTATTGAACATTTTTCATCGTCGGAATTTTAAAAAACATATCACATTGAAGTGCAAAAATCTGAGAATCAATCATTTGAGTTATAGATTGAAACTTTTACAACATAACTCACCCTTAGAGAAAATTGGTTCGATAGATTATTATTTTTTAATCCTCCGAGAATTCCAACTTTCGCATTTCCATAAAATAACCTTAACACTTTTGCTTTTCGATAGTAGAATCTGCCATCATTTTAGCAAAGAAAACGTACTGAACTTAAAAAATCAAAAGACAAACCGCGAAAAAAGTGAAATTGAGACTGAAAAATTTTAAGACTTGTTAAAAAACCATCATACAAAAATCCTCGCGACCTGAGAGGCTGAACAACGTTCGTCAACTCTTCAAAATTAAAAGCCATTCTAATCAAATTCACATTGACACCTAACAAAAAATAGCCAGTTTCTTAGCAAGTAGCACAGAACGTTCCCGACAGGTATTCGCGTCAAGCTTGGGTGTTAGAGCAACTGTGAAGAAAGCCGAACCATCAAAAAAATCAGGCTACAGAAATTAAGCCAACACAAATAAACAAACGGACGATAGTCCGAAAAGCACCAAGTTTGCAAAAAATACGTCCCGGCCGGATTCGAACCACAAGCCTTTGCAATCTCAAGCAGATGTGTTACCTCTAAGCCAGATGAGTCAGGTGGTTGATTAGATTTGAATTTTAAACACAGATGCGAAGCTTCACTTCGCAAAACCTAGCGAGAACACGACAAAAAGCAGCTTTAGAAAGTGCAATAAGAAAAAATAGAAAGCCTCGAATAAGCAAAAACTCGGCTAGGTCTAGATTCAATCTGCAACCTAATGCAATCAAGAGAATTTGAGTCTCACGCACTAACCACTGACAAACACTAATCAATAATAAATCAGCTACAAATGCGCATAAATTGTCAATGCTATTCAGCAAAAGTGGCTCCAAATACAAATAGACCCAATTTTGCAGGTAATAATTTGGAATATGACAAACTGAAGGCATCTACACAAACTTTTCATGTAACAAATCGCAAAGCATGCAGTCACCTTATGTATAAATTATGCGTTTCAAAATTGCGAGATGATTTCAGAAATTTTCAATATCTCGCAATTTCTGAAATCGACCTTTATTACTCTGATGTTGTTTGAAACAAATAGCTTTTTTCGGTTCATTTGATGAATTAAAAATACATCAACTGTGTTAATTTATTACTAATCGAAAGTCAAAGCACATGCTATCAAAAAGCTGTAAAGGTGCTCCGCAAGTGGCACCAATATTTACGGCTTAGGTTAGATAAAAACGGAAGGTTCTTAATATACTGAGCTGACGCTAGTTTGAAAACTGTTTCTCGCCAAGATAGCGCTAAATGAAGCATCCAAAACTGGTTTTCCTGAGTTTGTTGTCTTCAATAAGAAAAGAATTACTCGCTCGAAATTAGAACAAACCTCATAAATTCCAAACGTGTTTTTCTCGACAAAAAAAAATTTTTTGAAAATTTTTAAATAATCAATCACGGCTACAAGGCAAAAAATTGACTTCAATCTCATGATTATCACTCGATCCATGCCGATGATTTTTTGTGGAAATTTATTTTACTTGGAAAAAAAATGGACAACCGAAGTCTAAGTTGCTCCAGATTTTCAAAAGTCGTAACAATTAGCATTTATGCAAAAGAAATTTTTGCACTATCTTTGGTTCTCCGATGAGCAAAAAAGACTTATTTTGACTACTTTTAATTTTCTTAGTCCTTTCTTAAGAATTCAATGCAGAAACTATTTCAATTTAGAAGCTGATAAAAAAACCCAGTGGGTTGAGCTTGCATTCGATTTTGACGGTCAAACTACAAAAATTGAGAAAGTAAAGACAGCACAAGTAGTTCCAGTTCAAAAAGCACTGAATACTGCTGGCTTTACCGTATCAGTTCAGAACCGTCACGCAATAACAAATTACCTTTGGCTGTATGCGCCAGAGCGAGTCTTTCTTCTTATCATCCGCGGAAACAGCCCATATTTGTTCCCTCAAGATACATTCTTTTTCCATTTCCTAGAAGTCTTGAGAGTCTAATCTCATGCAGAAACCGAATTGCAGAAAATTTTTAGCCAATCAACAGATTTTAGACTCTGACTGAATTGTCACTTTTTTTTAAAAATCAGAATCTTACTACTAATTTCTGATTGTCTAATACAACTTTCTGCCATTTGGTCTTTCTGCCATCTGAAACTTTAACTTAAAATCATAATGTGCTAGGAAAAAAGTGAATGGAAAATAACTATAGAGCAAAAAAATAGTGGATAACTGGGGCCAAAAGACACTTGTCTGTGCGCTTACACCATTCAGTTTTTCCTCTGCTCAGTTATATATGCATATTTTATCTCTTTTCCTTACACTTCATTCCTGCGGAGAAAATATTTTCTTCTGCCATTGCGACTTTCTTTCCTTTTAAGGTAGCAAGAGAGACATAATTTTCTACTAGTTTTTTTCCTTCTTTTTTCCATTCATATATTTTCCCTTTCCATTCAGGCGTTTATAACATCCACTTCTTTTCTTTCGATGGCGGCGCCGTGCAAAAAGTTACAGCCTACCTACTTGTACCAGCGTGAACGAACTAGCATCTAACTGCAGTTACCTTCAGATCTCCATTGCTACAGGTACAGGATACAGATACCTCTCTTCTAAATCCAACCCTACCTCCCTCTCTAAGCCAACTCTTTCTATTGGCACACAAATGCAGTTCCAATTTCTTTCACGCACAAATTCAGGCAAAAAGGATAAAAACAGCAAAAAGCAGAAAACAGCAGGAAATTCATCACCATTTCCTACCGCCACCAACATGCACCCAATTTACAATAATCCTGCGCTTTTCCCGTTCTAACACAGACTTAGACTGAGAAAAAACTGCCACTTTCATTCTCAACACGACTACTATTATCAACAGAAATACCATTTTGTTGCAACCGCAAAAATATTCATTAAGAAAAAAAGACGCCAGCCTCAACTTCACAAGTTAGTTGAAAAACTGCTTAAATATTTCAACGGCACCAAAACAAAACAACCATATCGACTGAAACAAAATTTTTTTGCAACTGCAAAACTTTTATTGAAGAAGCAAAAGCAAAAAAGAGGAAGCGTTTTGGTAGCTTATAACTTAAGTTGTAAGAAGAGCAACTACGATAGAATAGAAATTGGAGTGAAAATCGACGGCGCTTTAAGGGGGAGCCACTTGCCGCCAACCGGTGCAGCGTACCATCATTAACAACCACAACTGCAATTTAGAGGGAAAGCAAAGAAAACGAAGTAACACATTCGACTAAACAAGAGTTCAAATCAACTAGTTACTATCAGAATTGTTATCTACTCCAAATATTCACAATTTACTAACCATTAAAGATAGCTTCATACCAGGAGACAGGTCAAAACCTGAACTTCGAAAACAAACAGGAAATAAGGAAGTGTCACGAGGAAAACAAAACATTTCAAAAAGCAACAGAAAACTTTTGAACTCTTCATTCAATTATAAAGTCAGAAGTAAACATTATTGTTAAGCTGCGACAGAACAGAAATTGGTTTAAAAATTTAGCAGTATAAAAAAATCGATAGCGCTACCCAAACAAAGAGATGGAATCCAATTTGCAGTCAGAATCCAGAAGTGACCAATCACAACCGAGTCCTGTGAGGAGTCCCTCTTCAGGGAGTGGATGGCCCCTGAAGAACATCACAAAGAGATTCGCATCTCGCAAAAACCACGAGCACAGCAGCGAAGAATCCACCAAGAGACAAGAACCAGTCTCTAATCAAAGCAAGACTTCGGTAGTCTTGAAGAAACACGGGGCCAGCAGACTGGGATCCAAATCATCATCGGGGAGGAAACACAGCGACACTGACGTTACTCCCAGGACCAGGTCAGTAGTTCCTTACTTTTTGATTACCTTCCACTTAAGGTCTTATTTCAGATTAATATTTTGTAATTGCTCCAAAATTTCGTAATCCGAAAAATATAAGGCAAAATGAATAAAATGGATAGTTTGAAATAGACTGTCTTGTTTTCTCTGACTACTTATTTTTTGTAGACTAAGTAGCCGAGAACAGGGCGGAACAAACGGAGGCAAAAGCGACAAAGTCATCAGCAAGAGCAGACTGACTTCGGCCAGCACAAAACTCTCATTCTGTTTCACTGCGCATTGTATCACCTCTGCAGTCGACTCCCCCTCTAGCACTATTCAATCTATAAAGGGGGGCAACAATAACCACTCCTATCCACACGACTACTGGCAAGAAACACCTGACGTGTTTGTTCACGATGAGGACATCGCCTCGTGGTACGAGCACTCTTCCGAACACGAGGACAGCAGTGTCCGAGGCGATAACCTCTCCCGGTCCCCGTACGAATGCCCCATCTGTTTCGAACAGTACCAGTTTGACTTCGAAGACCACGTGACTTCAACATCCGGAGCTCAAATGGGTGCTTCTGGTGGCACTACATTCCAGGAACAGCTGACGTCATTCCGAGACCATTTGCCCAGATTGATGCAATGCGGACATACACTGTGCTCCAAATGTCTGGGTAATTCAAATGAAAATTTCTAAAAAAAACTACCTTTTTTGACTTCCATTCAAAACAAATAAAGTTAGCCAGGCACACTTAAAGCAGAAAGAGACGTTATGTCAGGCTGAAAACTAGAAACTATTAATGAATTTTCTGTTTGCAGGTAAGTTAGGCGAAGACATGAGCGCCAAAGTGCTTGGTTTTGTCAAGTGTCCCATCTGTCGAGAGATGCACTACACAGAGCCAGTGGAATCCGGCATGCAAATGACTGTCCCTGATTTCGACACCAGTCGGGATCCAAATTCAGACGGGATCGCGGGGAACGAGGGGGGCGCTGGTGGCTCAGGTGGAGTTCAGACAGGGGCAAATCAGTTCGTGTTCCGAGTGAATTATGCCCTTCTGAGTGCAATTGAGCACAACTTGATGCATATTTCAGCTGAAGAACTCGCCCACCCACATATTGGTCAGTACCGACCTTTAGGCCATCTCCTCAAACATAGGAAAAACCCATGCAACTTCAGCACTTCGTTTTATCAACGAAACCATAGCACTAAATAGGTGTTAAGTTTAACCCTTTATTTTCTGATATCCAATCCAAGGAATAAATAATCTGTTCGCAAAATCTAAACTCATGTCATTTTGTTAGATCCCGAGATGGATATTGATGACAAACCACAGATGTCCAAAACTCTGGAGCGAGGAGCAAGACATCGCAAAACTTACAGCATGTACGAGCCAGTGGCCAACAAAATCAACACCTGCTCCACGGCCAAAGTTGGAGGGGCAGGCAACAAACGGGAGGCCACTCATGTCACATTCGAGGATATCCAGAAGATGCTGAGACCAGAGCTGATCATTTCTCAGCAGCATTTAAGTGCTATCAACATGACTTCGTCTCCTATGAGCAGCCGAGCTGATTCCGAACGCACAATCACTGCGGGAGACAATTGAGAAACAAACACGACCCACGAATATTCATCATAAAAGAAGACAAGGCAAGCGACAATAAAATATTGCTAAATAATTATCGATGGCATACTTTGAACAGTCTGACAAATATTCATACATTCGTGCTCAGTTTATTTTTAGTAGTATATTTTGATACTAAAAATTTTGTAATTATTTTTTGCATGATTGAAATAATACCAATACATATGTAAATGTTGCTTGATCATTATCATTAGAAATAGAAACTTTAAAAAATACTACCAGTGAGTAAATTCGAAGAAAACCTTACTGAAAGCGAGGAAGCTAAACGAGTATGAAAAACACCAAAAACTCTTGTTTTTATTGGAATGAAAAATTCGAAGGCTCAGTGTACTCATGTAAAAAGAAAACAAAAAGTCGGAGAAATGTAATTGAGTTTAAAAAACCGAACAAAACATCACATTTAATCTCATGAATTTCATGTGAAAGACGCTTTTTTCATAAAACTAACCAAATAGATAAAAAATGGTTCAAACAAAACGTATCATTTTTCATTCCACGGGGAAATCTAAAAACTAAAATCCACTCTCGAAAGTAGAAGTCATTCACGGTTTTTCGTTCCATTTGTATTTTCGTTAGCTCGGCAAACAAGCTTGAATTGAGCTGTGAGAAAACCGAAATCCTAGGTGATAAAAAATGCTATTCATACAATTCAGTGAGCATTTTTAACGCTATAAAAATTTAATAACAAGTATTTTTTCAAACTTCTTGTCTCGGACAAATAATATCAAAAAAAGATAGCAAAAACACGACCTAAAGAAGTGTCTTCAATTTATTCTTTGATAAAATTCACTCAATTTGATAACGGGATAAAAAACGAAATGGTAAAACTAAAAATCTGATATTTGCGAAAATATCAGCACTTGTTCTTTCGATTGAGCCTTTCATTTCAGATGGGGCAGAACTTTTACGCATGCTTAGAATTTTTATAAATGTTTTTTTTTCTAGTTCAAATTTAGGTTTCTACTAAAAAAATAGGCATATCTGCTTCTTCAGAGAAAATTCCAATTGCCAAGTCTTTCCGATTAAAAACTTAATCTCAGATTTGGAAGTTCAATTTTTGATGAAACCAATAAACTTCAAAAAAATCATAAAATGGTTTGTTGTCGATTTTTACAGTGCGTTTTACAGCAATTAGGGCGTAGTCCTGAAAAACTATACGAGAAAACCCAACCTCAAAAAGTTTTATTATACCTGATTTCTATTAAAGAGGAACTGGCCACCAATAACTTAGATAAAGAACAATGACATGCAGCAAAGATCAACAAAATATTAATATACGAAAGTGCCACTTTTATCAGTATTATATTTGCGACTTGGGTTGGAAAAAAATGGCTACCGTAATCAGACACTAAGCTTTGCTTGTGTAAAAAAAAAGTCAAACAAAATTGGTCGGAACAAGTTTTGATTTTTTCTTTTATGATAAGAACCAAACCATATAAGCATCTTCACTACATTACTTGACATTGCGAAAATATCAGCACTTGTTCTTTCGATTGAGCCTTTCATTTCAGATGGGGCAGAACTTTTACGCATGCTTAGAATTTTTATAAATGTTTTTTTTTTCTAGTTCAAATTTAGGTTTCTACTAAAAAAATAGGCATATCTGCTTCTTCAGAGAAAATTCCAATTGCCAAGTCTTTCCGATTAAAAACTTAATCTCAGATTTGGAAGTTCAATTTTTGATGAAACCAATAAACTTCAAAAAAATCATAAAATGGTTTGTTGTCGATTTTTACAGTGCGTTTTACAGCAATTAGGGCGTAGTCCTGAAAAACTATACGAGAAAACCCAACCTCAAATAGTTTTATTATACCTGATTTCTATTAAAGAGGAACTGGCCACCAATAACTTAGATAAAGAACAATGACATGCAGCAAAGATCAACAAAATATTAATATACGAAAGTGCCACTTTTATCAGCATTATATTTGCGACTTGGGTTGGAAAAAAATGGCTACCGTAATCAGACACTAAGCTTTGCTTGTGTAAAAAAAAAGTCAAACAAAATTGGTCGGAACAAGTTTTGATTTTTTCTTTTATGATAAGAACCAAACCATATAAGCATCTTCACTACATTACTTGACATTATCAGGTCGCGCTTTTATGTTATTTGTGGGTGGTAATAAATACAATAATTAAGATAACACTCTTATACAGGTTATCTTTGAGATTATAGCCACATATCCAGTGCGTTTTCTTAGCTATTGTCTTTGCTTAGCTGTTGTCTTAGCTTTCTATTGTCTTAGCTTAGCTACTGTCTTAGCTTTCTTAGCTACAACCCTTAGCTATTAATTTTTCGAAAGCTACGTTTTTTGCTGATGGAAAAACTTTAGTCATATAGCTTTCATGTTTAGACTATGTTTACCACAGAGATTTTAAACACAGAGACGATGCAGAGCTTCCCGTCAATTTCGATACAGTGCAAACGTAGCATCTGAAGCTAGTTTATAGAAAAAAAATATATTGACCAGAAAAACACAACAATCAGTATCAAATTAACTTTTAGTATTTAGCGAGAGGCCACTAAGCCAACAAAACGTGGGTAGACGCCCACTGGGTCGAAAACGTGCATTGAAGAATTAAATTTTAAATTTCTTCAACCTATCTTTGAAAAAGTGATAAACCGATATGCGCCAATCAAGAAAATAAACACTAGCAAGAAACCACAACCACCATGGTTCAACAACGCGTTAAAAATCTCAGAACAAAGAGGAACAAATCCCACACAAACTGAAAAAAAAACATTGAAAATAGTACTTTATTGAATACTTATACTAATTTGAGAAAGAAATTCGAACAAGCGGTCAAAATGAATGAACTAAAATTTTATTGGATAACTTTAAGAATTGAATTGATGACTCAAGTAATTACTTAATGAGCTAAATGGCAAATCTATATCTCGCTCTAAAGTGCCAATTCTTGAATCATGCCAAAAACTAAATGATAATCCAACTGAAGATGTTGCGACTAGATTTAATGATTTTTTTCACCAATATTGGTGAAAACCTGAAAACAGATATTCCAAATGTATCTCCACCTCCAGTACCTAAATTAAATTGGTCAATGTTTCTATACAGAACAACGCCATCAGAGATCGACGATATTATCTGTCAATTAGACGACAAATCAACATCTGGTGATGACTATATCAGCAATCAAATAGTGAAAGCATCTTAAAACGTTACTGCCCCATTTATATCGTTTCTAGTCAGCCTTACTTTTGAAAAAGGCATATTTCCCTCTGCTTTGCGTAAAGCAAAAATACTTCCTGTTCATAAAGATAATTCCAAATTAGATGAAAATATTTACCGGCCAATCTGTTTACTTATTGTATGGAGCAAGGTATACGAAAGAACAATGTATAACCGAATCTAGGCATACAAGGAAAAATTCGCTTTGTTGTATAGCAAGCAATTTGGGTTCAGATCAAAACATAGTACAATAGAAGCAGTTGTTGGGCTAACTGAAAAAAAATATATTACTGAAAAACTCGTTTAAGGAGGCTTAGTTTTTTTCCTTGATTTAAGGAAAGATTTTGATACTCTTGATCATGAAATACTTCGGATAAAACCTGATGCAAATGGCATTAGAGGCAATTGCTTAAAACGGTTTAGGTCCTACTTCAACGATCGTCAACAACGAATTGAAGTAAATGGTGTTTGTTCAGATTGGAAAAAAATAAAATGCGGCGTCCCACAAGGATCGATTTTAGGTCCGTTGCTTTTCCTTATATACATTAAGGATTTGCCGGTGACATGTAAAACAGCAGAAGTAATCTTATTTACAGATGACACCAACATAACTGTTATAGGCTGCCAGATTTTAAATATTGAAGATGATCTCGTCATCTTGACCATTGGTTTCATGGAAATAAGCTAATTATAAATTATGATAAGACAATACAAACGAACATAAAAAGTGCGTCCAATTCAAAATCCACCTTTAATTTCTCAAAGGTGATTAATAAACCTGCTTGTAAAAATCTAGGTTTATACAGTGACTCTGAACTATCATTTCGAAGTCACACCGATTCGGTGAAAATGGGACTCGAAAACAATGCGTGATTATATCGAAACTAAGACATTATGCGCCACGATGCCAATTGCTTGAAAACTATAGAAGTATTGTTTACCAACTACTCAAGTTCATACTTCGTGCTATCACAAAGTCTCTTTCTCGAAGTTTTTTAAACGATCTATTCTCCTTTGAAAAGAAAATAAGGGCCACGAGACTGTCAAAACAAAACTATTAGCAGAACCCATATGTAAGAAAAAAATCAATCGGTTTTCCGTTCGATATCGTGCTACCAAGCTTTTCAACCTCCTGTCAGCGCAAAAGTTGATGCCTGAGGAAAATTGAAAGATATTCGAAAACAGAATTAGAAACATTTTATCATACATTTAAAGCTGTGTTTTTAGTGCAAAATGAAGAGTTAATCGATTACATATTCAAATTATAAGAAGAAAAAATTTATTGAACCCGTGATTGCATGCTGACGGGGGTGTATTTTAGGGCTGAGGTTCTAACGCTAAAACTTGACCTTCCAGAAACTCTTAGTTTAGGAGATATGGACGATTTTTTTAAAAAAATCAAAAACTTAGAAAAAAATCTAATTCGATTACATTTTCAAATTATAAGTAGAAAAATTTATTGAACCCGTAATTGCATGCTAAAGGTATAAATTTTAAGTGTTGAGATTCTAACGCTAAAATTTCACCTTCCAGAAACTCTTAGTTTAGGAGATATTAAAAAAAAATTCAATAACTTAGAAAAAAAATCTAATTCGATTACATATTCAAATTATAAGAAGAAAAAATTTATTGAACCCGTGATTGCATGCTGACGGGGGTGTATTTTAGGGCTGAGGTTCTAACGCTAAAACTTGACCTTCCGAAAACTCTTAGTTTAGGAGATATGGATGAATTTACGAATTTTCAACAAATTCTAAAAACATTTTAAAAAATCTTTTCCAGATAGTGAAAGAAGCATGCATAGCTAGGGTAGGTTTTTGTGGGCCATATGGCCCCGTTGTCTATCCTCTCCGAGTCTCATTTTAATAATTACAAATAACGATGAATTGCTAAATTTATGTAATGATTGACCGGAGAAATTTATTCTTTCTGTAAAGAATTAAGTTTTACAAGATAACCGACCTGAATTATTTTTTCACTCAGACATTAGGTTGAAAAGGCAACCGCGTTACGTCTAGACAAAGTGGTACGGCGTCTGAATGTCTTTAAAGTTCAATAACAAAGCACTTTTAATTTCTTTCAAATTTTTACGAAGGGATGTTTACGGGAAAAAGTCTACTTCCCGATTATAAGACACTTGATCTCGCTAAAATTATGACTTTCTCTAGTTATTCTATGATGAAGCTTTTCATTTATGGAATTTATGATTTGGAAAGCTGCAGAGGATCAGAACTCGCAATAACATAGCCTCACAGAAAAAACATTGACCAGCTCCCTGTCGATTCAATAATATTATCCACAAAAAAAGGACAACTATACTAGATTTTCAGCTCATTACGGCGGAACGCTGTGGTGTCGCAGCGTTATAACAGTATATTTACCTCCAAGTGAGACTCTAGTGGCAGCCTTGTCTTTTCCACGCAGAACAGATGAGGACGAGGACGGAGACTGCAAATCGGCCACTCCCTCGTCCACCTCCCCTTCCCTTCTTCCTCCCCTTCTGCCGGTGGAGTTGCGAGAGTTCCTCGTGAATGTTGGCAACTTCAGACTCCCACCGCCTTCCTCTGATTTCCCAGATAGATTATTCTCTCGCTTCTTCTCAGACTTGATCTCATCTGAAGCAGCTTGATATTTTTGCTTTGACGAACAAAATTTGGGTAAATTCCCAGCATGATAGTTTCTGAATGTGATAAAATTTATCATGGCTTCAGCTAGTTTGTTAACATGAGGTTTGCATATTATCAGTATAAAATTTGGTTTTCGCAAATTTGTTATCAGCTTTGTTTCTTTGAACGAATGTACACGTCAGTCAATGGAAAAACTCTCTTTTGCCAGCTGTATCCAAACTTTTACGCACTTAGACACAACAAGAGACAACAACTAATGAACTTATAAAACTATTTATTTTATCAGAATGTCTTAAGTAAAAATATTATCAAAAGATTTGCTATCACAACATTTTCAATTAACATATGTGCAAGATTATGGTCAAGAAAACTATATCAAAACGAAGTGGTTGACAATTTTAAACTAAATTTGACGTCCTAACTTTACCGAAACTTAACTTGAAGAAGACAACTGAAAATTCGGCCATTTACCACAGAAGTCTTACTTTGAGTTGGGTTGAGTTGTTGGAACCAAACAGGAACCGCTTCCTTTCCCTTTCCGAACAGATAGGAAGAGGCGTCGTACTCCAAACCGGCAGTGTGGCTGTTATTCCACTTGGACACTCCCTCCAGCATACTGTTGAAGTGCATCTCTACTTTCCTGTCCATTGAGTGCGGAATCAGTTCTCCTCTCTCTGTGTACAGGTTGCAGTGGGCTCGAAGACGCTTCAGCTTCAAGTTCAGCTAAATATTTAAAAAATGAAACATAGTTGACCCAATTTCCTGAAACAGTTTTTGTCTCATCAAATAGACATAGCAACTTGTGAAAATAGTAGAATATAATTTCTCCAGACTCTCTATCGACATACCAAGTCTTCGGATCATAAAACTTATTTGTCGTTTCTTCAGATGATTAATCATGAAAACAACTTCGTTTCAGTCTTAACAACTTAATTACTTCACATAAAAACAATTCGATATGAAAGTGTGGTCTATTCAATGGACTAGTTTAAACATGAAGTGTCTACCATTGTTTCTGCACATACCTGATGACACATTAAGGACACTGGATTGTTCATTGGACCATGCACAAAACAGGCTCCTATGCCAACAGTGATCGCACTGTTGTCTTTAGACTTCGTCACCTCCGATTCCTCCAGGAGGTACTTCTCATCATCAGTGGCAGTATCATTGTTCGAACTCTCGTCCTCTTGTCGCATAACATCGGCGGAGGGAATGAGTTGTGAATCAAATAAAGCGGCAGTCACACTTGATAGTTGGTCAATATCTGAGTCAGTTCCTGAGGAGAATCCAGACGACGCTTCGCTCTGATCCCGCTCTCGAGGAGACGACACATCGTCTGCAGTTTTCCATAGCACCTTTTTTGGATTGTGGGAACTTGAAAACACATGGTCGCATATTCTGCCACCTGAAAACAAAGCTAGAACTTTCCAAAAAACAATAAATTATATCGCTCCGTTTTTTCTGAATTTTTTGCTAAATTATATCCGTCAGATATTAGTATCGAATAGAAGGAAATCATTTCTACCTATTTTGTCCGATGCTTCCAGGACTTGCACTCGGACTCCGAAGTTGTACAACTGACTGGCGGCTGCAAGTCCAGCTATTCCAGCACCAATCACCAACACTTTCACCTAAAACTCAAAGTGAATAAGGAAACGAAGGTGAAAGGTCCAGCCGAGGCGAAGTGGATTTATCAAGAGTTAACTGGTTCCAGGCTAAAGCAACAATTCTCTGATAAAGATGCGACAATTTAGCTTCGCACCACTTGCGATATGAAAAGCTAAGTGAAATAATATATGAAAAAAAAATGAAAATGACTATTTGAAAAACCTCAACATATTTCCTATTTTTCAACAAATTTCAGGTTTTCGAGACCACTCTATTGCAATCTATTCCCTATACTTTGAGCCTCAAAACATTGACAGCAGACAATTGGAAAAGAGTCAATGAACGCAATTGAACAGAAAAAAAACTGACTTTGCTTGAAAATTTTAATGACTTTTACTGAAAAAAAAAACGAAAGAAAATCATCGCGACCTATATAAGAGTCTGAACTACGTTCATCGACACTTAAACACAGGCGAAGAAAAACATTCGTTGAAAAACGGAAAAATTTTATTTCTTTCTCATAATTTCAAACATTAATATCTAAGGCTCCATTCAATGATTTCTGGAGTCCAAAAGAAAATGAGGAGAAAATATATATTTTAAAAATCGTAGATGAAAATTCACAACAAAATTGGGCCAAGCTTCTTAAAAATCAATTTTAAACGAAACCAATACAGGACTACATCTAGAGTTTTTTCATTTAAATTAAAAATTGCCGATATTCAAGTCAAAAGTTCCTGATAGCTGGCCGGAATCGAAACCAAGATCTTTGCCGTACAAAAGCATGTTCGTTACCTCTATGCTAAACGGACAAAAGCAGTAGCCGGTACTTGATAAGCTAATGAAAAAAACTAATGAGTTCTCTGAACTAAGATTTTAACGCTAATCGCAGGTTACAAAAAGGTGAAGCGGAGCTTCACAGCAGATGCGATACAAAGCAAGCTTAGCATTTAGAGTTCAAAAAATAAAAAAAATATGTGAAAAAATCTGCAACTTTTGTCTCGACTGGTGTTTAATTCAGGGAAATGAAGTCGTAAAACACAATTAACAGCGCTAAATAAGCATTTCGTTAAGTAATCTAGACACTACTTGAGTAGACAACCGAAAACCAAAAAAAAAACAATAGAAATTTGAGTTTCAAGTTTCAAATTCCCTAGCCCGTTTTTACACCCTATCTCTCCTTAAACACATGAAACTTTGTTTTTCCATTTCAAAAAGACATAAAATGAGGTATAAAACTCGTTATTACATAAGATAAAACAATTTAAGCCAAAAAAAGGATTATATAGAGAGTCAGATTTCGTAAATTTAAACGCAGACGAAGCTGCAACTTCGCAAAATTGAGCGAGAAAGCGGCAAAGATTCAGTGTTTAAAATGCGCAAAAAATCGAGTTTTAGAAGTATAATCTTTAAATGTAACAAACTCATAGTAACCATACTAACTTTGCACGTAAAAATTTAGAGAGTATTAAAGCAAATTACGTATATATGATGCATTTCAAGGAAAATTTCTGAAATGGGATTTTAATTATTATACTGTTGTTTAAAAAAATAGTTAATTTATTATTAATCAACTGTCAAATCCCATGTTATTAAAATGCTAATGAAGTCTTCTGATTGAAAAATGCCATCAAAATTTTGCAACTTAGGTTGGAAAAAAGTTGCATCGAACTATCACACTACGCTACACTCGTGTAAATATAGAGCGATAATAAAAACTGATTAAATTAGAAGAAAAATTCATGCTTGCAAATTAATCCAACAAAAAATCCGCCCCAAGTATCTTTTATATAGCCCTAAGAAAATTAAGTATAGTTAACAAAGTTTATTATATATTTAGACACAGAGGCAAACGCAAACACGATCAAAAATTTATTAATAAAAAAACAGCATTGTGACCTTCGCAATGCAGGCAGCTCGTTGCTTGTTGGCGAGACAGCATTGCCCAGTCCAAAAAAATGCAAAAATACGAGCAGGTAGGTCGTACTCAGAGTCAAAAGGAAAAACAACATTCTCCGCGTAGAATTGAACAGATCCTAAGTTGGTCCTTTTCCTCTTAACTAACTATTACGGAAAAATTTTATCAGTTGAGTTAGGACCGTCTTGGTTAACTCATAGAGTAATTTCGGATAGGGTACACCGTCTGCTCGTCACGCTATCTTATTTTCGGCCGGATAGATTCGTGCAACTTCTTAGTCTAATACCGATCCTAATCTTACTCTTATACTATCTAGTCTCAGGTTGTTTAACTAGTCTCTGCTAGGCTCAATAGATCTAGGGTATACTGGTTTATTGCGGCTGCTGAAGTGCTCGGGAGAGTCCAACTAATTTCTAAGTTAAATTCAAATCTCTCTGGTGCTGAAATTACAAGTAACTTCAGCACTTACAAATAAGTGGGTTGTTAGTTAGATGGATCATGATTGGTTAATATTAAATACTTTACATTGGTAAAATATCTAAATTATCCAATCATAAAATGTAGTTTAGATCAGGTTCCACCCATCCGGGTTTTACAGAGTTTTTTAGAATAGTTCTTCTGCAATTCGAAGGATGGATGATGGAAGTTGGTGTTTGGCGAACATCTTATTTCTTCTGTTTCCTTTTTGTTAAAGAAGTTCCAGGAAGCTGGAGTTAGAGACATAAGACGTTGTGTCTTCTAGTGACAACGACTTAGTCTTCGCAACAAACTCAAATCTGATTTCAGAATGGTTGGCTATGTCAGGTTTTTCTGTTCTGCGTGGAGAACTTCTTTTGTGTCTGGTCTAGTTTGGGAATGGCGTGGAGATTGTGCGTGGAGGGGATGCCTGGTTACTCGGATCTGTACGTATACTTGAACATCGAGGTGGTCATTGGTCTAGTTCAATGAAGTCCTTTTCTGCGAAGTCAAGTCGTACTCTAAATCCTTTGAGTTGTGATTGTGAGCGGCATATTGATTGTAGTTGGTCATTCTCTCTCGAGTGTGGTGGGGTCGTTTTGTCTTTTGATGTTCGTCCTTGGTGTTGTATTCTGATCTATGTATTGCATCATGTGATTTTACATTTTATAAAACTTTTATTAGTTTAATATTTTTTAATAATGATTTTAGTTAGTTGTTTTCACAAAAGCTTTTTGTTTTAGTTCGGTTATTTTGAAGAGTTACTCACACTTGAGTAGCTCTTATTAAAAATAGTGGTGTGGTCACAAAGCGTGGATGTAGCGCGGTGGGTTAGGCCGGCTATAGAGCATGCTCAGGACGTCCTTCCTGGTGGGTTAGGCCAGGAATGGGAGTATGATTTCATGCGGTTTTTTGTGAGGGGTCCTGTTATGTGACAACGTTTTATGTTGGGTTTGTTGTGGTTTTTCTTATGTCTTGTTGGTTATGTCCTTTTTCCAAAAATCAAATTGTTTGTGGTATGGGTTTGTCTTTCGACTTTTTTGTGTTTTATTATTTCTTTCTTAGACTTTATAATAGTCTTCAAAAGAATAAATTATCCAGTTTTAAACTGGGTTAATCCGGTTTGGGTACCGTTGGTTTCCTTTTCTTAGTCATGCTGTTATTCTATGATTTGTGGTATTTAGTAAGCTGCGTTGGTTAGTTTTGTTTAGTATATGATTCCTTTCCAACCGGGTTAAAGGAAAGTTTGAAACATGTTATTATATGTTAGAGTTGTTGAGTGTGAAAACTTGAAACTGAAATTCATTATTTTAAACAATTCTTCGTGGGCGAGCTGTGCGAGTGTGGATAGAATTTCTGTGCGATTGAATGAGAATATCAAAAGGTTAGTACTGCAATTGCATTTTATTAATTTACTGCATAGAATTTGGAAATTTACTGCTAGTTATGGGGGAATTTTAAGTTACAAATTTTCATCATAATTAAATTTACTGCTTGTGGGGAAAATTTTAGAAATGAATTTACTGCATTGGTATTAAATTTATAAATTTATAAGTGTAAGAGATTAATAGAATTGTTGAAGTCTGTTTGATGAAATTTGTGATCTTTATTTGTTTTTTGTGGTTTTTGTAGGTGATCGTCGGATGAAGGCTAAAAATCTAAGGAAAACATGGATAAAGTATGGTGAGTTTTTTAATATTTCAATTAGTTAGTTATATTCATTTAATTCATACTTACCTGTTAGTCGTCGGGGAAAAAACCGTGGGGGAAGATGTCGTGAATTAGTTCTGAAGTTGTTAGTAGTTTAGCTAAGATGCGGATGATATTTTTAGTCTGAAGCAGTGGCCAAAGCAATTGAAGTGCCTTAATAGTGGTTAGTTCTTCAGTGCCAACTGCAAACTCATAAGGTGTGTTTTGGATTAGATTATATAATTTGTGATTGAATTTAGTGTTGTGGATGAATTCTAAAATTGGGATTTCTATAGGTTGTACAAACTCGTGCGGGATAAGGAAGGGTCGGGATTCTTCGGCGTTGAAGGTCTTGGTGATGGGACAGAAGATGTACATTTGGGTTATGGGGTCATAATTACGAAGAATACCATGGAGGTTAGTGTCTTTAATACAATATGTGAAATTTAGGAAAAATGGTGAAGTGTATTTGGAATTAATGAATTGAAAACGATGGTGTGGTTGTCTAGAGGGTGTGTGTAGGTCAAAGTGATTTTGGATGAAGCGATAATAACTATATGTGTGGGTTTGTTTAGTGCGCAACATAATATCGTGTGAGCAGTGTAAATCTCTTTCGTGTGGTACAAGGAAATGAAAGGTTAGTGAAAATATTTGGAAGCGTTCTTTAAAACTTTCGTATGCTTGTGTGTCTGTTAGTGCTTCTGAAATAATGTGATCAAACTTTCGGTCGAAGATGTTTAGTGTAAATATATATGGTGTCTTGATGAAAAATTTCTCGGTAATTTGTGGATTAGCGAAGCGATCGTCGTCTAAGAATTGATCTTGGTTAGCTCTGATGATGTTGTGATCATAGTATTCGAGTGTATATTCGTTAGCTCTAGGTGCAGTGTGTGTTTTTAGTGATTTTTTATATCCAACGTAAGTAAATTGTCTAGCGGTTAGTGGTGTAGTGAGTCGATA